TATTGTATGGTAGTCAATGGCGAGAGACAACAAATATTTTGATCTCGTTTGAATTGTGCCCTGAATTACACATATGATGTTTGTAAATTTTAAAAGATACATTTTAAAGTAAATAAAGTTGCAGTTTGATGTAAAACCGTTGAGGAATAAGACTGTGAAAATACGGAATTACAAAGACTACAAACCCCAAAAGCCGCACATTTTCTCTCAATGAATGAAGCTAACTTTACTGAGGCTAATGTCTGTCATTGTTTCTATAGTCTTACGTTATAATAATCGTAACATTACACCGTCATACCTGAGTGTTTTGTACTAGACTGCACACGTTGTTTCGCTTCCCGGGAGATGTAGTTCACAGAGCGATTTTCACATAAAACGAAATGTTACTCTTCTGTTTTATGAAAAACTGCAACGTCTTTGACTTTCAGAATTATCTTTTAAATTGACAAACATCATATGTGTAATTCAGGCCACAGTTCAGACGGAATAAAAAGATATAATTTGTCTCTCGCCATTGACTACCATACATATTTTTTTCCGAAATAAGGTCCCATGAGCCGGAAGCGGAGGGGCGGGACTTAGGCTCTCTATACAATGATGGATGAAATAGGCCCGCCCTATTTTATTCCCCTCATCAAATATCCAGTTTTCAGAAATGCATCAGATTAAGAAATTAAAGTTACTTTCAAGTTTGATTATACAAAAATAGACATCATAGAGCATCTTTAAATGGAAGTCAAGGTACCCGATGAGCTGAAATATGATTTATGGTTGGCCTTACTTCTTTCTCTCTCTCTTCTACCTTTACATGATGCCTCATTATGTCTTGCGTAGGGTCATCGTTATTTTTCCTCGTTGTGGGATCCTCTGCTCAGACACAGATAGATTTACCATTCAAAGAAGACAAATGGACCAGACAACCTGCTGGTTTCAGCTTCTCTCGGCATTCACTTCCACTGTGTCCGCTGGGCCATTGATTTAAAAGCCATTTGCATTTATGCTTTTTTTTTTATTATTTTTTTTTATTGAGGGTGATGCATCCTGACCCTACAGGTTTAAATCAAAGCAGAGATGCACCCCCGTGACTAAAAATGGACCCTGCTCGCACTGAACAACAAAGCGCGAAAGAAAGCAGGAAAACAAGACAACAGAGGCGATCAAACAAGTTGACCGTAGTGCGCTACGCTGGAAGCAACGCAAATACACTGCTGAATTTGCACTCTCACAAAACACTGTTGGTGTTTTGATCTACTCACAGCAGCAGTTTAAAGATAAAAGGGCTCCAAAGTGGAGTGCGTCAAAACCAGCCTCAGGAGCATGATGGGAAACATTTTTATAGATTGTTGGGTCAGGGTGGATGTTGCCGGTTGCAGGCAAAAGATGTGTGGGCTGGGGAGGTGGATTGTGGGATTCACAACTCCACTGCATATTTGTTTTGATTTCTTTAACTTGAAGCATATGTTTATCTTTTATTCAGAGTTGGTGTTAAAGGGTCTGATCTTCTTAGATTGAAGAGTTCATTGTGCTATGAATAATAGGCTACTGTCGCTTTAAGAACATAAAACTCCTTCAGTTTTCAGAATGTGCATATGTATATTGTCTGTTTGTCTGTCTGCCTGTCTATCTATCTGTCTGTCCATCCATCCATTCATCTTTCTTGGCTTTTAAATTATCACAAGGCTGTTTGGGTTTTCATTTCCCCCCCACAACATCCTTGTTTAATGTATGCATATTTAAATATGTATGCCAGCTATACTAATTATAGCTAGCATATATTTTCCTCCTGCCAGGAAGACATGTGGCTACCTCACACGAGGTGGAAAACACTAAAAAGACGATCTAGAACACTTTCAGGGGAGAGAGAGATTGGTGATTGGACTGTGGCGCTGATGATGGCGAATACGAGTCTAAGCATTTACTGGAGCTTAAATATGGAGTCACTTTTTTCCCATTAAAGGCTGCAAAACATATGTAGTGAGTCTGGAGTCGATCAAACAAACGCAACAGACAAGCTCACAAGCTGCTTTGTTTGTTTACATGCATGTTAATGGTATCAGGTGGCTTGGAGGATATGAAGAGTTAAAATTAAATTTAAAATTCTGACTAAAATCTATTCGGCCAGGAAGAGATTGTTTGACTAGCACATTTGAAGTTTAAATTTGAAATATCTCATAGTAGCTGCTGGTAACTTGTAAATTTTTTTTTTTAAAAAAGCATTATTTTCAGGCAGACTGGTAAAAACCAGTTCACTCTGACTCCTGGAAATGGAATTATTTAATCCAATCAGATTAGAGCTTGCAAGTTTGAGAAAGTAAATGCTGGTTTATATTATTTAAATGCATTAGAATGTCAGTGGTTGGGTTGTATTAAAATATATATTTAAACCAAAAAAATAAAACTTATATTTAAACCAATTCAACAATCTTTTGTGTTTATTAATATGAGGAACTGCTCTCTGAAGACTGCATATAGATGCAGTGCTCATGGGAGATTTAGCCTTGCATTTCTTATGTGTGCATTTTTTGTATCATGCGTCTATTTTCTCCATATTGTTAGTCAAAGTCACTCTCTGTATTATATAACACTTCCTGAAAAGCATGTTGTATAGCTCATGTCTCGCCCCCTCATTTTCTGGGACAGAAGCAAACGAGCATTACTGCAGATAAGCACATATTGTATTATTTTGTATATCGCACAGAAAAAAAAGCCTGCATTTGGAGAAGAGTATGCAGAAGAGTATTATGCATAATATTTATTTTCATTTAGCTTTGTTTGCATATTAATAATCATAATAGTCGTTTGTGTGAGTGTGTTTGGGGCCAGATGCTCAGTTGCCTGTAATTCATATTGATCAAATGATTTTAAATATAATAACCATCATACTGATGTGCAGTCAATTTGAGTTTGCTTGAATATGCACTGCTGCTGGGTTTAACTACAATACTTTATTTGGAGCGGTTACATTTTATTAAAATGCTATTTTAAAGTGATGTAAACTGTCAGCTTGAATACAAGCCATAGTTCCACTAAATAGTGAAAATTCTGTCATTATTTGAAAGCTCCAAAAAGGAAAGAAAAAAAGAAAACGGGGGAGAAACAAAGTTGAGGAAAATTGCAGTAAACCGGTGCAACATTTTTGGTTATGACACATGTGAGAAACAGTGGCATTCTGACGTCAAATCTGACATAATGCGCCAAGATCCATTTTGAAATTAATTTTGAAATGTTTTAGAATAGAAGGTGATCAGAAACTAACAACATGAATGATTAAGCTATTGCACAAATTGTACTGGTGCTTTTATAATACTTTTATGCTTTGTTTCATGGACTGTAAAATATACTTTTTTTTTACATTTATCATATTTATACAGAAGCGTATTGCATTCACTTGAGGAAACAAAATCCACTCTGTTTTTCTGAATTAACGAGTTAATTATCTCAGAATTACTAGAATTGTTCATGGAAAAAAGTTTTGCTCTGTTTTTTTTCTGAATTAACGAGTTAATTATCTCAGAATTACAAGATAATTTTTCATGGAAAAAAGTTTTTGCTCTATTTTTCTGAATTAGTGAGTTAATTATCTCAGAATTATGAGATCATTTTTCATGGAAAAAAAAGTTTTTGCTCTGTTTTTCTGAATTGATGAGTGAATTATTTCAGAATTCCAAGATAATCTTTCATGGAAAAAAGTTTTTGCTCTATTTATCTTAATTAACGAGTTAATTATCTCAGAATAATGAGATCATTTTTCATGAAAAAAAGATTTTTCAAAAAAAATTTCTCAGTTTTTCTCAGTTTGAGATAATCAAGTCATTAATTCAGAAAAATAGAGCAAAACAAATTTTCCATTTAAAACGATCTTGTAATTCTGAGATATTTAACTCATTAATTCAGAAAAACAGAGCAAAAACTTTATTTCCATGAACAATTGTCTTGTATTTCTGAGATAATGAACTCGTTAATTCAGAAAAACAGAGCAAAAAAATATTTTTTTTCCATTCAGAAAATTCATTTAAAACAGAGTAGATTTTTTTTCTTCTTTTAGTGAATGCAATACGCTTCCATATATTTATGCCGGATATCCAATGCAGTATTTTGCAAGGCTTGCAGCAAAGATCAAATCCATTATTGTTTTACAATAGAAATGCTGTATACAGTATTTAATGCAATTACATTTTGTCTTGGCTTTTGTCTTACAAAACATTAAAATGTACAATTTCATACCATTTCATATTTACATGTAATGTGGGGATTCCCCAACTTTTGTTTGCTCATAAATTAAAAAACCTCACTATAAAAATCTGGTCTTGACATCATCCCTGCACACTACATAACAGAATGATTATTTTTAGATGAACTGTCCCTTTAATTTGTGATAGCAAGGCCGCTTTTCATTGGGTTTCCCACCTTGCAAATGAGAGTTAAACATCAGGTCAGCAAAACAACTCTGCAAACTACACAAGGAACAAAAAGTACACACACTATCCACTTACAAAAAAACACTTAGAAATGAGAAACTTGAGGATCAAACAAAAATGCTTCTGCTTGTTTAGCAACTGTGGCGTCTGAGTCATCTCCTCTGTTCAGGAAACTGTGAAACATTTCTAGCTGGTCATTGTGAACGAAACCAAGTGAGGATATCTGGTGTTAGTATTTATAAAAAGCGCATCTAGTATTCTGAACCGTGTGAAGTCAGAAGAAAATGGGTACACTAGTAAAAAAAAAAAAAAAAAAGCGGTCCAAAAGGGTTTTTGGTTCCTTGGAATTTTAATAATCTATAGAATAACCTATTGTGTGTTGGAAAGGTTCCATAGATTCAAAAATGTACCATCTTGGAACCATCAATGCCAGTAAAGCACTTTATTTTCAAGAGCCTCTTGTTTCATATGTTTTTAAACTAAGGTTTTGTTTCCTTTTCAAACATTTGGAGCCGAGTAACCGACAGCATCCAAGTGGTTTTGCAATTGTAACGTGGCTGTTCTTCTCTTTTGTGTGCGCAGGGCGAAGCCAGCTAGCGAAACCGAGCGTGAAGATGTCCAGAAACTGCTGGCACTGTGGAAGACTTGGCAGGTGAGTGTACAGGAACAGGTTGTGAGGAACACACTTTGGCTGATTTGAGATCAGGCACTGAGCCTTGTCTGAAGATGGGATCTTGTGCGACATACACACGCTGATTGAGGAACTAGCACTGTCTCGTTGGAGAGGAAGATGGAAGAGATCAAACAAGACTGTTTTACAGCTAGTTCATGTATCTGATGTTTATTTATTTTTAATACTCCCAGACAAACACAATATTCTTAATTAATCCCCCAGCTGATCATAAACCCCCGGTTTTCACAGACGAGGCTTAAAGGAATAGTTCACTTAAAAATGAAAATTCTGTCATCATTTACTCAAAATATCTTCTTTTGGGTCAATACAGGTTTTTAAACAACTTGACAGATTTTTTTAAGTGAACTATTCCTTTAAAGGAGTTTGCTGATAATTTACTCACCCCCATGTCATCCAAGATATCCATGTCAATTAAGGTTTTTGATAAAAACATTCCAGGATTTTTCTCCATATAATGGACTTCAGTGGGAACCAAACGGTTCAAGGTTCAAAAGACAGTTTCAGTGAAAACTGCAAACTGTTCAAAGGGCTTTAAACGATTCCAGACAATGAATAAGGGTCTTATCATGTGAAACGATCGCTCATTTCAAAAATAAATAACATAGTTTAAGTTTTATAAGCTCAAATGCTCACCTTTCTCTGTTCTGTGATGCACGTTTGTGACTCTCCTGTTCGAACTCATTTATCAAAATGAACAAATCTTTTTTCGTGTCATTTCGTTCATTCAACGAACGAAATGAACAAGTTGAATCAGGAAAAGATTCGTTCATTTTGATGAACGAGTTTGAACAGGAGAGTCACAAACGTGCATCACAGAACAGAGAAAGGCGAGCACCTGAACCGTTTGAACCTTGAACCGTTTGGTTCCCATTGAAGTCCATTATATGGAGAAAAATCCTGGAATGTTTTCATTAAAAACCTTAATTTCTTTTCGACTGAAGAAAGAATGACATGGACATCTTGGATGACATGGGGGTGAGTAAATTATCAGCAAAAGTGTCTATTTTAAAAAAGTGAACTACTCCTTTAAGCCTAGTCCCAGTCTAAAATACATTTTTGAGCTGTTTTAACTATAAAAGCGACTTAAATGTCAATTGAACAGAGAGGCCTAAGCCTGACTTAATCTAAACCTGGTTTGTGAAACCAGACCAACATGTTATAGTTTAACAGGTCGTTCACGTTTACATTTATTCATTTTGTAAACATTTGCTACAGCACGTCTCTTTTCTTTTGTACTCAAGTATGATTTTTTGTTTTACCAATCATGTGCTGAAATCACTGAATAAGACCACTGTAGTTTGCAGAGCTACGCCGTTTTCACCAGCATCATTTCAGAACGTAATCAGCAGTGAAATTGCTCGTATCCTGTGGAATTGTTTTTCGTGGAATATTCAAGCAGATTTTCCCATGCTCTTGCCGAACAGAGCAAATCAACAACATATGAAAAAATTTGGTGAGATATTTTTTGAAAACTCTCTCAACCAAACATTTCAGATGCTTGCAACTCTGTGTTAATATCCATTATTTTCTTTGAAATATTAGATTTTCTTAAAAACATTTTTTGATGACAGTATACCCTACCGGTTGACAGTTAGGGTTTAATTATATTTTAAAATATATTAAAATAGAAATCATATATTGTAAATTGTAAGGATATTTCACAATTTTACTGTTTTTACTGTATTTGTTTGTGCACATATAAATGCAGCCTTAGTAAACATAAAAGTCATACACAAAACAAGTCAAAACCGTCTGTGTATGTGTGTGTGTACTTTAGCATCCCTGCAGAAGTCCAGTGTCTTAATAACATTAGTGTTTTTTAATATTTATTTATTTATTTATTTATTTTTAGGAATTATTAACTTAATAAAATGTTACAATCAAAAATAACCTATTTTCAAGTGGGAAAAAAAGAGAACAAAAATGTATTTCAAAGTAAATAACAGAAATAAATAGATCTAATAACCTTTTGGACGTACAGTGTGAGTAGTCAAACCTCAAACACATTCACACTCATGTTCACCCTGTAATATCATTTTTTCTTTGGATGGGGGAGCTGTGGATGAGTTAAGGGTCTGTACTAAATGTACCCTGGCTGTGCTGTTCCCCTGAGAGGGGAGCCTGGGTCAGCTGATTAAAAAGATAATGAGTTGAAGTGATAGATTTATGTTTTTTTCCTGCAATATGTGGCCTTTTGCCATCTCCCGTAGGAGGCGGTAACTGTATAAATAACAGATGGTGACATTGGAAAGCAACTGCTCCCTCGTCTTAGTTGTCTCAGCCTTTTCTGTGGCTTTGTTAAATTAAACACCACAGTGATTAGGGCGCACAACATCCAGAGCATCAAACACAACCCGGCCTCCTTCAGAAAGCCTGTCCTGACTCATGCATATTGACATTTGATCAGGACACATTTTAATGGTTGTGTCTGCTCGTTTGTACATGACAGATGCTTACATAACATACATTAGCTTCGTTTTGTCGGATTGTATGATTGATAAAAGCTGGTACGAAGTACAAAGGGGTTTGAATACTACAGTACGGCTGCACAACATATCACATGTATTGAAAAGTTTATGTATATTATGTATATTTTATGTATATAAGCAATTAAAACAATTAAAAAATAATTACAAAGAAATGGCAAGTAACATGAAATAAGTGTCATTTTTTTGTAATAACTAGTTTGTTAATCGGTTTTATTTACAACTTTAAAAAAAATTACCATGTGTTTTTATTCATGAAAATACTTTGTGTGTGTGTGTGTTTTTTTTTAGTTTAAAAAAGTTATTTTCATTATTATCGTTAACTATTAAAACAAATTGAAATGAAGCTAAAATACAACATAAATAGTAGTTATATATATATGAAGAGTTCAGATGCAAAAGCATCTAAATGCCATTTGAAATTTTCTTCTAAAATGACAATTTTTATCAAGCTTGTATATTTAAGTTCAGTAATTTCACTTAAATGACAATTAATAGGTAATCTTCATTGCCATTTAACTGAAATTACTGAACTTAAATATACAAGCTTGATAAAAATGATCATTTTAGAAGAAAATTTCAAATGGCACTTAGAGGCTTTTGCATCTGAACTCTTCATATATATATATATATATATATATATATATATATATATGCTTCCTTGGCAATAAACAATGATTAATTGGAAATAAATAAAACAAGCTAAAATCCAAATAAAGTATATATATATATATATATATATATATGTATATAATATTGCTATTTTATGTTTCATTTATTTAGATTTCAGTTTGTCTTATATATATATATATATATATATATATATATAAAATAAAATTGACAAGAGCCCATAAAAAAATTACTAAAATGATTTACCATTTATTAAACAATTAATTATTTAACTAAAATGAACATGAAAACTAAATTAAACGCTTGCAGCCTTCATTCCCATTCACTTTGATTGTATGGAAAAGCAACTGGGACATTCCACAAAACATTCCTGCATCTGTATGTATGCATCTTCAATGTTCAACTGAAATAAGAAAGTGTTTTGAGAGGCATGGATAGTACATAATAACAGAAAATTCATTTTGGCCTCAGTATCCCTTTAATAAAGATGTTATAAAGAAAAAAAAAATCATATTTTGTTGTCACAGAGGCACTATGTAGGGCAAAGTACAAAGCTATCAGTAAATAAGACCTAGGGACTGGAAGTGCAGATGCCTGTCGAGGACACACCGATGCGCGTGATGCTCAGCGGTAGCAGATAATGTAGAAGTGGCATTATTATTCTGAACCAGGAGTTTGCTCTGCACACCCGAGCCGTTCAAAGACTGATTTCAGATCAGAAAAGAAAGCAACCCTGGATGCTGAGTTTAACGCACGGAGCACAGTGTGTTCCTGCACCTGCAGCTAAATTATCTGTTATTAATTCAACAAATGTAGTGTAACATGAGCATGTCTTGTCTCCGCACTCCTGCAGGGATTTCGCCTGCGATCTGCATCTCCTCCTACCTGAGGTTTATAGTGCGAAAACTACAGAGTTCCTTCTTTTAGAGCAGTAGAAAAGAGATATATTAAGATGTATAATGCAACCAACCTTCATTTTTATTATTCTTTTCACTTCTTATTGTTGTCGCGCTTTGTCACACTTGTTTCACAATTTTTCTTCTGTGAAAGAAGTCTCACTCTGTTGTAGCTGACACATTTTCATACGTAAACAGTAATGTGTTGAACGGATGACTTCCAAGGAATTGTTGCTATTTGTTTGGATTTAACTTTTTTGGGGGTGTTTAATTAGAAGACACAATGTCAGTATAGACGCTGAGGTGTTCAGATAATACAGATGGATTTGTATTAGACAGGAGTGTATTTAATACAGGTGGGACTGTAGGGACTGACTGGAATTGTCACTTGACTTTATGATCCTGAAAGAGGTATCTGTCCTTCCACGCTCCCTTGACAACCTTGGACAAGACAAACGTAGGACGGTTAGTGAAAACACTCCAGCGAGGCGATTATTATTATTGAAGGGCGCAAAAGGGATTGTCGTGATGACGTAAAACTTCCGAAAACTTTGTTGTCTCGCTGCTTTGTCAATGACTTTGCAGGCAGTGTTTGCCCAAGGAGACGCCTCACGAAATCTCAGACAAACTTCTGAGGCACCGTAACGGTTTCAATGATCTACAGCGAAATAGAGAGAGCTTTGGTGATGTGAATGTTTAAAGGGGTCCTATTATACCCTTTTCACAAGATGTAAAATAATCTCTGATGTCCCCAGAGTGTGGCTCAAAATACCCCACAGATTTTTTATTATGGCATGTTTAAAATTATCATTTTTTGAGGGTGTCCCTTTAAATGCAAATGAGCTGCTGCTACCAGCACTGAGGGCGGAGCTTCAAGAGCTCCTGTGTTAGCAGCTCAAATTACCTCACACAAGTACATGCGACATCATGTAGAATCCAACAAGAC